GCTTTCTTTGTACTGGTATTAGTCTTTCTCTGCTAATGACATACTCTCCCCTCAAAAGTCATCCTCTATCCCTTCTCAGATACTGATATTGACCTATGCAATGTTCACCACAGATAAGGCATTTAGGAGGACTTAGACAGCAGTGAGCTTGGGGCAGACTAGCTGGTTCAGGAACTGACAATACACTGTCCGGTAAGGTTTGTATTAAATCGATCAAGCAAATGACATGATTTCAGTGACCCTTTCCAAACTACACTGTCAGTGACCCTAAGTGTGAAAAATGGGGACATCCAAGTCTCACATTGCAGGGTCTACCTGTTTTGTTTTTTTTTTTCAAGTGTAGTTAACATGTGGTATAATATTAATTTCAGGTGTACAAATAGTGATCCAACAATCCTGTGTATTACTCAGTGCTCATCATAAGTGTACTCTTAATCTCCTGTATCTAGTTTACCCATCACCCCCATCTATCTCCCCTCTGGAAACCACCGGCTTATTCTCTGTATTTAAGGGTCTGATTTTTTGTCTTTTTTTTCTTTGTTCATCTGTTTTGTTTTCTAAATTCCACATGTGAGTGAAATCATACAGTATTCGTCTTTCCCTGGCTGATTTAATTCACTTAGCATTACACCCTCTAGATCCATCCATGTTGTTGCAAATGACAAGATTTCATTCTTCTAATGCTAATAGTCCATTGTATATGGAATATCTCCATTAATGGACGTTTGGGCTGCTTCCATGTCTTGGCTATTGTAAATAATGTTGCAGTGAACTTAGGGATACATATATATTTTCAGTTAGTGTTTTCATTTTCTTTAGGTAAATACCCAGTAGTGGAATTACTGGATCACATGGTAATTCTATTTTTAATTTTTTGAGGAAGAAGTGTCTCCCCTTAAAAGGCAGCTCAATCACTCAAAGAAACAGAGGATAAATACATAAGTGATATAATAAGAGTTGCTTTGTGGCCAAGCAATCTAGGTCTGAGTCCTGGATCAGCCACTTGCCAAATCACATCCCTAGACAAGCTATTTAACCTCTGTGAGCTTCACTACTTCATATTTTTTTATTTTTATTTTTTAGTGATGCAAATACAATAGTTTATTTCTTGCTCATGTAACAGTACTCCCGGATGAACAGGTGAGTGGGGTGGTCTTCTTCCAGGAAGCCATTTAGGCTGCTGTAGCCTCTGCCATTTTCAAATATGAGTTCTTTTTTTTTATTATTCCTTTTTTTTTTTTTTTGCAAATAGTTTATTGTCAAGTTGGTTTCCATATAACACCCAGTGCTCATCCCCACAAGTGCCCTCCTCCATACCCATCTTCCCCCTCCCCTCCCACACCCTCAGTTTGTTCTCAGCATTCAAGAGTCTCTCATGGTTTGCCTCTCTCCCCCTCCCCCACTATTTCCCCCCTTCTTCTCCCCCATGGTCCTTTGTTAAGTTCCTCCTAATCCTCCTATACGTGCAAACATATGGTATTTGTCTTCTCTGCCTGACCTATTTTGCTCAGCATAACACCCTCAAGGTCCATCCATGTTGCTACACATGGTCAGATTTCATTCTTTCTCATTGCCATGTAGTATTCCATCGTATAGATAAACCACATCTTCTTGATCCATTTGTCTGTTGATGGACACTTAGGCTCTTTCCATGTTTTGGTTATTGTGGAGAGTGCTGCTATGAACATTGGGGTACATGTGCCCCTATGCATCAGCACTCCTGTATCCCTTGGGTAAATTCCTAGCAGTGCTATTGCTGGGTCATAGGGGAGTTCTATTGTTAATTTTTTGAGGAACCTCCACACTGTTTTCCAGAGGGGCTGCAGCAGTTCACATTCCCACCAACAGTGTAAGAGGGTGTCCGTTTCTCCACATCCTCGCAGCATCTAGAGTCCTCTGATTTGCTCATTTTAGCCACTCTGACTGGCGTGAGGTGGTATCTCAGTGTGGTTTTGATTTGTATTTCCCTGATGAGGAGGGATGCTGAGCATCATTTCATGTGTCTGTTGGCCATCTGGATGTCCTCTTTGGAGAAGTTTCTGTTCATAACTTCTGCCCATTTCTTCACTACTTCATATTTTAAAAGGAGTTATAATATCTGACATAGAAGAATGCTAGAGAGTGGTATTCTGTTCTTGGGAAGAAAAGGAAACATTTAACACCAGGCAGGAGGAAGCTACTACCATATAAAATTCCATTTTGGGCCACCTGGGGGACTCAGTTGGTTAAGCATCCAACTTTAGCTCAGGTCATAATCTCTCGGTTCATTAGTTTGAGCCTCACATCAGGCTCTGTGCTGACAGCTCAGAGCCTGGAGCCTACTTCAGATTCTGTCTCCCTCTCTCTCTGCCCCTCTTCTACTCATGCTCATGCTCTGTCTCACTCTCTTTTTCTCTCTCAAGAATAAATAAACATTAAAAAAAATTTTAACTAAGTTTAAAAACTGTGCAGTTCTAATCAAATGTCTAACCATCAAAGAGGAAGAGAGCAAAGCAGGCTCTGTGTTTGACATAGATGTTGCTGTTCACAAGAACTAAAGAAATGCACCAGGCACAGAGTCAGGGGACCTAAAGCTGGCCAGAAGCAGGAACCTGGGTCTTTCCTAAAAGGCGGTGCTCCAAAGGCGGGCCTCAACACAACAGGCCCCATTTCATTCATTTTGCTTCTCAGAAAAAGCCAAGGCTGCAGAGGAAGCTTTCTAGCTCAGATCATGGACAAAAACCAAGCGAGTTTCTGGAAAGACTCCCGTTCCTGCCTCCAACACAGGCCAGTCAATGAACTTCAGGCAAGATGGTGACTTGTTATCATGAGAAGTTTTTCCTGAAGGTCACCCCTCACCACCACGACCACATTCAGTATTGGAAACTTTAGCCCCTAAATGCCAAGAGGCATTTTGTCCCCATGAAGACTAGGCTGCCTTGAACCATCCCAGTCTTTGGTCTGACATAGGTGGGTAAAGTGATTTCATTTCCTCATGTTGCCCTTTCTTGCATGATGGCACAAGATCTGAGAAGAAGGGAGGCTAACAGGAGCTATTTTTTTTTCAAGCAGCTGTCAACCACATTTAGAAATCAGGACTGCAAATGGACATAATAAGCATTCCCCCAAAACGTAGGCTCCAAAATGAAGTTCTACAAGAATACCAATGGCCCTTAGAATTACTGAGTGCCTCAGGGCAGCAGGGTGCAGTCTCCCATCACTTCACCACTGGTGGACCCAAAGGAGGAAAAAGGAAATGAAAGCACCCATACAACTAGGCCCCAGCTCCTTGAATGGATTCAATATAAGGGAGTTGCTAACTGCTCCACCCTACAAGGTAAAATTTTCTCATTCTTTGAACTAATGCAGATACTAAAATAAATTTGCTCTGGAATGCAAGTTATTAAGTGCTCCATTTCATTTCTGATTGCCTGTAGCCGCTAAAGGAAACTAATTCTAGCTGCCCAGAGGAAACAGCCTGAGGCCATGTGTGAACTGTGAGCAGTCTGGCTCAGCACCCACACCCCTAATTATATGACACTGGCTCTGAGTGAGGTCAATATGGTGCTTTCTCCTTCTCAGACTTTTTAAATTCCTATCATCTCGCTTAACCGTAGAATCCTGGACAGATCTAGGATGTGAGTGGGAAAGATGACACAACCCTCCCTATAGGGCAGGGGAAAACACCGAGTTAAGTGATGATTCTCAAGCCCCGTAACAAATCAGAGATAAAGTCAGGAAGACACATTCATTCTTTCAACAGATGTTTATTAAGCATCTACTCTGTACCAAGCAGTGAGCTAGGCACTGGGGAAGCATCAGGGCACAAATGCTCATCTCCAGTAAGCATTTCAGTGAGGAAACAATGGAAGAGCAGGCAATTTGAGCTGTTGATGATGACAGTAAGTAGACAGAGAGTGACAAGGCTGTGAGTTCGTGGACTGATGGCCAAGCAGGAGTTGGCAGAGGCAGTGACATTTCTGCTGAGGCCTGAATAACAAGAAAGGGGGGGAGGCATTCCATGGAGGAGGAAGAACAGGGCCCAGTCTCAGGGACGTCTGATGGAATGCACCAGCCAATGTGGTGGCATTGTGGTCAGGAAGGGGGAGGGTGGGAAGACACAAGGTGGGAGCATAGAAAGTAAACAAGAATAAAAACTTTGAAAATATTGTAATGATATATATTTCCCATTACCCTAAATCATCAGGCCCAGAAATGGTTTCAGTATTTCAGGAGAAACTACTAGAAAAAGTAAAGTCATTGTCCAAATTTTACTGTAAAATTAGATGAAGAGAGTATAGCCAGACAATAGTTATAAGAGTCAAGATTTCTAGAGAGGAGAGATTTCTTACTCTGAAATTTCCCTTTAGACAGCAAGAAGCAAGCCTGGTCCTTTGTCAGAGAAAGGAACTCTGAGTGGAGAGAGCTCAGATCTGATACAGGGAAGCCCCTACCTTACCAGAGAGGAAATGGAGCCACTCCCAAGGCAGGGTGGCAGGAGGAAAGGAGGAAGGAAGTGGATGAGCAAGTGTTCAGATATGTAGTATCCAGTTCCATTGACCCCTCACTGGGGCCATTATCTGAGGCTGCAGATGTTAAAAACAGAATCAGTACATCAGGGAGAATAACAAACAGTGAAGTTTGTTTCTCACTCTCCTGACCACAAACTGGGAATTTTCCAAGCTAAAGTTGGCACTTGAAATGCAAATGCAATTTCAGGTCCTGCCCCATCCTCACCCCATGATACTTCTTCAATCTGATCCAATGCCTGAGTCTCTCCAAGGTAGATATTTCCCAGCCACCGCTGGTGGTTGGGATCTGGCCACTGAGGACATGGAGCTAATTTGGGAAAAACTGGAGCTGTTAAAGAACGCTACTGACGAAGATTCCACTTGTGGCCTTTGGACAGGCTCTGCATACACTAAGTCATCAATATTTAGAAGCCATATTGCCTGGATGTATAACAAGCATTTCTCTTTGGGCATCCCCTTGCTCTAACCACCCCTGCTGGCACACGGCATTCAGAATCGGCTTCCAGTGCCGGCTCCACAGGCCGACCCAGGCCCACAAGTGGTGCGGGGGGCACAGCTTGGACGAGGCGTACAGGGGGAAGCCACACAGGCAGCAGAGGTGGAGCATGGATTGCAAGGGAGTCTGTGGAAAGAGAGAAAAGGTGAACACAGTTAGGGACGGGAAACGAATGATGTGTGATAGAGCACAAGGAAGGAGTCACCTCTTCAACACTACAGGACAGGGAAGCCCTGGCCATTGACCCCCTATTGTGCACCCGTAGCGCTAGACTGAGGAATTTCTGAAATGCCTTCCAGAATTAAGGTTTTCTAGATGAGAATCAGGGTCTAGCCAACAAGATAGAAAATACAAATAAGGATTAAAAAGAGAGCAAAAACAAGTTCAACAAATCTTCTGTGATCTATACTCAAATCCCCTGTTCAATGTACAGCCATGTTTCTACTCTCACCAGTGAATGGCTATGCCAAGTAGCAGCACTAGAGACCTGGCAATGGATCCCAATAGACAGTCACTCACTTCATATTCTGTCAATGAGGCAGAGTGTGAGCCAAGGACAGGGCAATGGGTCACTCAGCTGGAGCATACACTGCCTTCTTGTTTGTAGATAGCACTACTATTACCATAAGGAAATCACTAAGAATTGGGCAAATGATTGGCCAAGTAGTGCCTAAATCACACGTACTTGCAATCCTCACTCTCCAGAAGTTTCCGGTATGTGTTGATCTCGCACTCCAGCCGGGCCTTGACATCCAGCAGCACCTGGTACTCCTGGTTCTGCCGCTCCAGGTCAGCCCGGATCTCAGACAGCTGCTCCTCCACGTTGCTGATCAGGATCTGCATCTGGGCCAGCTCGGTGCCGAAGCGCGCATCCGACTCACACAGCGAGTTCTGCAGGCAGTCCTTCTGTAGTGGCAAATAACTGGGTAAGACACCTCAGTGTCCCAAATTTCAGCAGTGGAAATCATGGCCAACCTCACCATGTCATAGGACATTCCCGGAACTCTGGAGAAATCACTGCCCATATCACCACGACTTTTCACAAAACTTCTACCTGGAGGAACTGTTCATCCCTGTATTCCTAGTACCTGACCAAGTAGACACCCAAGGACATGTTGTGGAATGAGGGCCTGGACCTCCATCCTTTATTCTAAAAGAAGTGAAGTTGACTTTTTAAAGGAACCATTTTTCAGGGTCAAACCAACCTTGATGGCAAGGCATCTCCACCAGGGAGAGAGGGATCCAGCCCCTGAGTTCTGACTATTAGTGGAACTGATTAGTGGGACTTCTAATACACACTGCTGCCAGGCCATGGCCCGTGGCACCAACAGCATGGTGAGGGCAGAGGACCGTACCAAGCTGTGCTGGGCCTGAAGCTCCACCTCCAGGGCGTTCACCGTGCGCCTCAGCTCCAGGATCTCCGACTGGCAGCACTGCAGCTCCTCGGAGCAGGACATGTCTTGCTTGCTGATGCTCTCAGACTGAAGCACAAGTGCACAGAGACATCACATCACCCCGCTGCCAGGGTGCAAGCTGGGGGGCCCTCCCTGCCCCAAGGCAGCACCCTCACCTGATCCTGGAACCACTGCTCCACATCATTGCGGCCAGTCTGCATCATGGCCTCGTAGTGGCACCGCATCTCCTCCAGCACCCTGCTCATGTCCACGGTGGGCTCTGCGTCCAGCTTAATCTGGAGCTTGTCCCCCAGCTGGGCCCTCAGAATGCTCACTTCCTGCAGGAACAGAAGGACCAACACCCCGAGTGAGGAAAGAAAGGGCTTTGGACAGAGCAGATGGTACCTGAACCCCTCCTCTGACAAGCAGCATGAGGGGCAATCCCCCACTTGTGCACGAAGTGAAAGATCTTGCCCAGGATCCACTGGGAAGAGTCCATTTGGATGCCTTCCGAAATTGACAAGGCAAACCTTTAGAGACAAGGAACCTCCGCCTCTGCCACATCCTACAGAGTCAGCCTGACTCCCACACCCAGATCAGCCCCTCATCCTGATGCCAAGTGGGCATCCGAGTTCTTATCCTAGAGCCTCAGGATGGGTGGTGCTCCCTCCTCTGCCCAGTGCCCTCCCCCATGAGTCTGCAGCCCCAAGCCCACACCTGCTCATGGTTGCTCTTGAGACAGAGCATCTCCTCCTTCAGGGACTCCTGCTGGGCCTCCAGGTCGGCCTTGGCCAGGCTCAGGTCATCCAGGAGCTTGTGCATCCCACACATGTCAGCCTCCACCACCTGGCGTAGGGACAGCTCACTCTCATGCCTTCCAGGACAGGAGACGAAAGGTCAGCAGGATAACGAGGACAGCCCCTCTCAGCTGCCCCTGGTTTCCATTTCCTTTACCAATTGGGATCCTCATTTGCTTGCTGTGCTCAACACTGGCCTCAGAGATGAATAAGCCACTCTACTCAATTGGCTCATGGTCTAGCAAGGTATTCATAGTAGGTATCATTTTTACCACTGGGCATTGAAGAAACTTTGGTTCCAAAATGAACTAGCTTGCATAAGATCATGTATCTCAGGCTCCAGTACAGAACTCACACCACTAGGTTAAGCAACATCCAGGTACCTGATCAATGATTTGCTTCCTTATTCCTTGTGTTGGGCCACTTCTCTATCTCTGACCTTGGGTAGAAATGCCTAGTACTTGAGGATCCCATAGGTAAATCTGGATCCTGACCCATCCATAAATGGTCCCTCTAACTTATATATGAAATTCAGTGACTGTCCTTGCTCAGTTTATTCCTGAAATCACCTTATTCTGCTCCTGATTAGTGAGCTCAGACAGCCTTATCTTCCATTTTAGGGAAATACATGAAGGAGGAATTAACTCTACGCTATACCATACATACTGAATTTGATGGGGTTGTTTTTTTCTCAGCCAACTTCTATTAGTTTTGTCTGTAATACATATTTTTATTTGGGAAATTTAGGAAAGAAGAAACAGGCCAGTAATTCAGTCAATAAAGTATTTGGACATTGGGACTTAAGGTAAAGAAAAGAGTCACTCTGAGCCCTCTTCTGGCCATACTTACTTGATTCTAAAGTCATCAGCAGCCAGCTTGGCATTGTCAACTTGGATAATCAGCCTGGTATTCTCGGCCTTGCTGCACAGGATCTGAGGAAAACCAGGAAGACAGTTCATACACAAAACATCATACTCTGGGCTCTAGCTCTACACTGGCATCTATACTCATGCTCAAAAGAACCCAAGAACACAAAGCTACTTGAGACTGCCATGCCCTTCTGCCTTCTTCAGACCCAGCATACCCCAGGCTACTTCAGACCTCACCTTCTGCTGGAGCTCCTCGATGGTCCGGAAGTAGGACTGGTAGTCTGGACACATGCTGGACTCGTGGCATTTGCTAGACTCTCGGATCTTGGTCTCCAGCTCCGCGTTCTCCCGCTCCAGCTGGCGCACCTTCTCCAGGTAGTTGGCCAGACGGTCATTCAGGAACTGCATGGTCACCTTCTCGTGGCCATTCGGGGCGCCTTCCCCATAGTTCCAACACACTCCAATGTTGCCGGGAATGTCACGGGTCCCTGGCAAGGGGCAAGCAGTTTGGCAGCTGTGGGGCACACAGAGGCTGGGTCGGCCCAGAGGGGTTGCCCCCACACGCACCCGGTTCGCATGTGCCCAGGTGGCAGAGAGGCACAGGGATGCGGCCTTGGCCTCTGCCCCTGGCTGGCCCCCAATGTCAGTGGTGGAGCCGCAGACATTTGTGGCTTCGGGCATCTGGGTGCTGCCCAGACAGTGAGGTGAGCTGATGTAGCAGGAGGTCATGGTGTTGGGCTGAGGTAATACAGGAGCTTCAGAGCAGCTGGGAAGGCCAAGCCACTGAGTGTGACAATCCCCTTCCCTGCTAGGCCTTTTATACCCCATCCCAGGTGGGTGTTGGCTCAATGCTTTGACCTCAGTGCCTTGATTCTCTACCTCCTGTTGTACCGTCATCCTGTTACTCAGCTGTTGAGTTTACCATTAAGAGTTCTTTGCCTCATTAAAGGAATGTTGATGAATTTGAGGTGCCTCCTGGCTCTTTGATATCAGGGTGTCTGTTGATGGGAAGTCAGAAACTTTTATTATTTTTCAAAGAACAAAATCCTTTTAGCCATCAGATGTTTATACCTTGACTAGAGTTGATGTGCCCACACTGAAGGAATGATTGTTCCTGTTGGTCATAGGATGAACTCCTATGACCACAATGGTGCCCGCCTGGGTTAAGACTAAACCAGCCTTCTCTATCCAGGGAAGAGCCTGGTTCCTGCTGATAAATGTTATGGGTTTGGGTTATCAAAAATTTCACATTTCTTCTTACTTCTTTTGCCTTTCATACTCACTTTGGGGGCGATACAACTTTGATAAGTCCGTTCATTCAACATGCATCTTCTAGCACATCCTATGTGCCAGGCACTGTGCCAGGCACCTGCCATACAATTAGTTAAGCCTGACATAGTTCCTGCCCACCAGAAAACAACCCAAACTTAGGTAGCCATACATATTTTAAATAGGTTGTCTGAGAAGGTCATCAGCATTAGGGAGATCCTGAACCTTGCCTGATCTGGACCAGGAAAGGTAAGCTTAGTTAACCCAGAAACAAGCAAAATGAACAATAATCTTTTTAAATTCCAAGGCTGTGAAACTCAATGGACACTGAGTTACCAGAGTCAGTATGGGGGGTTTTCCTGCCTTACTTCCTTGATTCTAAAGTTCTTTACTGAGCCCTTGCATATGTGTTAGGGTATTTATCAATAATATTGTTTAATCCTTCCTACCATCCTGTAAGGTGGATATTCTTAGGAAAACTTTACAAAAGAAAGAAATATGACATTGAGGACCAGAGACATGAAGTTGTTTTTCTAAGATCAACCCCCTTACAAAGTGGCAAAGCCTGGTGTCAGCATCATTTCATTCTACTCCAGAACCCATTCTTGTTCTCTTCACCTTGCCCACCCCCCAATAGAAGAATAAGTGTGTCATTGCCAGAACTAATAAGGATTATAAGGTCTAGAAATTGGACAAGAAGTTGAAGTTAAGAGATAAAATAAGAATTTAACATTCTATTTTATTCTTTGTGTCTCAGAAAATACAAATGTTGGGATTCCAGAGCAATAGGGCAAAGTTTCTCCAAGGACCATGTAGAAGGATGTCCAGGAGAAATCTCCATCTCCAAAATTATTATACCCCACTAGCTTTTGGTATCAGAGAACCAAGAGTGCTGACTACTAAGGTCCCAAAAGTTCTCTCTCAAAACTTGTGGCAGGAGATAGATTGTCCCTAGGACTGAGACAGACCTAATATGGAGTAAAACTAAGTTATCAGAGTCAGTATGGGGGTTATAACTAACTCTTTGAAAAAATGAATGTTTTCCAGTGCTCTAAGCATTGAGCCAAAGCTGAATAGACATCTCTATAGGGACCAGATATGTATATATGAAACATAAGCTATTGGAGTTCTATCAAGAAGAAATACAGAAGTCTGAGACTTCTGTCCAGATTGGGTTTCCCAGGAAAGGTAACTAGTGGTCAGCTCTGTCCTAAGGGTTACTCAGAGCTCATCAATGAATAACTCTTTATAGACATGATAATTAGAAGATCTCACCAGAACCAACCCATCTCATCCTTCAGAGGCCTCTGGGTGCAATCTGCATAGGTTGCATCTTCAAACACCCCTTTGTTACTCTCCTCTGTCTCATAACATAGCAACAAGCTTCTCTATAAACCAAAGAACTAGACTTATAAAGTCATTTCTTTTGACCCGCTAAATTGAATCTATCTTTTGACTTTATTCTCTGGCAGGATTCATTCCATTAGCTGAAAACTCATGATTTCTTCCATCTCAAAATACACAACACTTGTTACTGCATAACATCACTGCTGAGGCTTTCTATGTCTGAATGACGCTCCTCTCTACGGAATCTTCATCATGGTCCTGGCTTGGGCTTCTAATGAGCGTGCTGTTTTGCATAATGACCCTGATGTTGCATCTCTTTGTAAAGTTGCTTGGTTCCGCTGATTTGCATTTTTCTCAAAGGAGATGAGTGTGGGGTGAGGATCCTTGTCCTCATATCTAAGACTGCCTTTCTTCCCAACCCTTTAAAAAGAGTCCCTCTGGCCTTTGGTAACCAAAGATGAGCCAGATTCAGTGACAAGATGTGGTGAAGACAGAGTGTGAGAGATGGAAGCCTTCAGCCCTTCTTCACTCACCTGTGTGCACACAGTTCTCTCTGTGAGTCTGACGTTAGCAATACTAGTCTCTAGTGGCAGGAAGCCTACTGCAGATGGGAAGGCAGAGCAGTGGCCTTGGGATGCTATTTTCAAAGATGGTGTTGTTACAGATGGGTGTATCTCAACCAGTGAGAGGGAAAGGCATGGACCTATAGACTAGTACCCAGAAATTGCACCTAACCCCCAGCCTACTTTTTCTATGCCGTGGCTCCTGCTGCAGGAAGATGCATGGAGAGCATCCAAGGGTTTGTGTCATGGGAACATTGCCCATCACATAATACAATGGATGCATACGTTGAAGACAGCTCCTGTGTGTGGAGCCTCATACTGCCATGTCTTCTAGCTGTTAGGAAATGGTGCCAAAGAAAATTGTGGGTCAAATAAATTCAGGAAGACTCTTAAGAGAAGAGAAACAAATAATAATAATAAGTAATAACTCATCTATTATTCTAGATATGCAACTCTAGAGGCTTTGATGAATGGAAAAGGCATACGTTTATTCAAATTAGATAGTATTTTATCATCAGGTTTATCAGATACAGCTCTATGGATCCACAAAGTTTATTCACTTAATCAATGTTGATTTCCTCCTACGATGACATCCTCTAGACCCTAGGAGTGCATCTATAAAAGACACAGTCCCTGCCTTAGAGTGAGGGAGACATTTGTGACAAGGCATCACAGTGGCCTATGATGGTGGTGCCACACTCACTCTGAGTTCTTCAGTCATGTCATCATCTTCCTTCCCACTACCATTACCCTGAGAATGGCCCAAGAGCAGAATCTATTTTTTCCTTTGCAACTGTCTATTCTGTACACCAAGTAATTCTCTGTGGCATCAGCTAGGTGTCCTATAGTTCAATTTAATTCCTAAGTTATCTATCTGGATTTAGCATCAGATCCCACAAGGTAAGGGCTCAGCCTCACAAGGCTGCCCTTTTTCAGACACTGATCATAAGTCCCAGGTTGTCACCTGTCCTTCTGAATAACTGGCTATAAATTAGTGTTTTCATGACCCCTTCTTTTGGTGTGATAATTTGCTGGGATGACTCACAGAACTCAGGGAAACATGCATATTTACCAATTTAGTATCAAGGATATTATAAAGGACATGATGAGTAACCTGATAAAGAGACACATAGGACAAGATATGTGGGGAGGGGTGCAGAACTTTCATGCCCTCTCTGAACAAGCCATACTCCCTGCACCTCCACACATGCACCAAGCCAAAAACTCTCTGAATCCTGTACTTCAGGGATTGTTATGGAGGCATTATTATATAGGTATGATCGATCACTAACTCAGCCTCCAGTCCCTCTCTCCTTCCTAGAGGATGGTGAGTGAGGTGGACAATGCCAAGATTCTAATCATAGCTTACTCTTTGTGGTGACCAATCCCCATCCAAGAGCCCACCAAGAGTGGCCTCATTGGAACAAAAGACATGCCTAGCACCCAGGAAATCCCAAGGGATTTAAGAGCTCTGTGTCAGGAACCAGGATCAAAAACCAAATAACAGAACAAAAGATGCTCCTAGTGTTCTTACCACTTAGGAAATTACAGAGCTTTAGGAGCCCTGTGCCAGGAACTGAGGGCAGAGACCAATGTATATATATATTTTTTAGAAAATATCCAAACTTAATTTCTGAACTGCCTGATCTCAACCAGTTTATGTAACCTTCAAATGCATTTGCTTTCTCCTATGAATGCTTACAATAATATTTATATCCAGGGCTACTAGTAAGAGTAAAGGCTATCTGGTGGACAGAACTAACATAATGCCTAGCACAGAGTAAGCACTTAATAAATATCAGTTCCCTTCCCCTGCAGGGTCTCCAACTATCACCATCACCCCCCTTTAAAAAGCTTAGTGTTTTCATGGGGTGCCTGGGTGGCTCAGTTGGTTAAGCATCTGATGCTTGGTTTCAGCTCAAGTCATGATTTCACAGTTTCATGAGTTCAGGCCCCATGTTGGGCTCTGTGCTGCCAGCACAGAGCCTGCTTGGGAATATCTCTCTCTCTCTCTCTCTCTCTCTCTCTCTCTCTGCCCCTCCCCCACTCATGCTATCTCTGTCTCTCTCAAAATAAATAAGTAAACTTAAAAAATATATATGTGTTAAGAATCTTAGTGTTTTCAGAACTGAAAAATCAGAATGGCTTATAAATACATGAATGTATGCTAGAGTTTGATGTAGTCTCACTTCTTTATTTTTTTTTTATTTTGTTACTTCTGCTTTATGTGTCATATCCAAGAAATCACTGCCACAACCCATTTTTCCCCCATGTTTTCTTCTAGAAGTTTTATGGATCTGGGTTTTATAATTAAGTCTTTAATCCATTTCAGGTTACTTTCTGTGAGTGGTGTAAGATAGGCGTGACCATCCATTTTTCCCAGCACCATTTATTGAAGAGACTATCATTTTCTCATTGAGTATTCTTGGCTCCCTTGTCAAATATTATTAATTGGCTACATATACATGGGCTTAGTTCTTGAATCTCTTGATTCCATTCCATTGGTCTATGCATCTGTTTTTGTGCCACTACCATAGGGCTTCTGTATCT